ATCCATATTTTCGATTCGAATTCTGAAGAGGGATGTCGTAATCAAATTCGAGTCTATTTTAGGTAGGTAAGGCATTTACCAATTTCAATCTGATGAAATTCCTATATCTTTTGAGATTCATTGAACTATTCAATGACATGTTTAATCTCGATTATGCTCTCACTTTGTGACTGGGATGACGAGGATCACAAACGAGATGTGAATAACCATGCAAATTAGCTTGGTACTCTCGATGTCATTTATCATCTGAAATTAACGTACCGGTTAACCACACATGCTCCATTAATTCAATGATAAATTACAAGACACCCATTGCCAACAATATTAGTCACATATTAGCGTGTCGTTTAACCACACACGCTCCACTAACGACCAATAACGTCCAATGTTCAATTTAATGGGTTAACATCAAATTCACATTTTTCCTAAAGTAACTAAGAGTGGGATTTTTAGAAAAATGATTTAGTTACTTTATAATTCATTATACTTATTAATGAAAATTATGTTGTCCTATCAAACCCATTCAGCTAACGACCCTCCACTAGTCAAGGAAGTGGTGGGTGAGAGTGGACACCCATTCTATCGCCATTTTATAGGCAATTTCCTTACCCCCTTTATAGGCCAACTTTGTGAATAAGGCCTACTAACGGTAAGACCGACTTTTCTTATACATATATAATATTAAACATTTAATTTTATAATATATATAGGATGCATTTTAAAACATTTTAAAATAGCAAGGGTTTAATCCTGTAGTAATTAAACTTTTAATTTAATTAAATTTAAACCTTTTATGGACTTATTAATAATCCTTTAATTAATCGATTAATTAAATTAATAATACAATCCATAAGAATGTAATTTTAGTAACCAATTATAAATATATTAATTATCCTTTAATTAAACAATTAATTAAATTATTAATCATATCCATAAGGATAATTATAATCAAATAAAATCAACATTATCCAATTCATAATTATCTCCTAACATTTAGGTCTTATTTAATTATCTAATATTACCAAAAATCGGATTATGACAGATTTAATAAAAGATAATTACCAAATATTAACCAAATAAATCAAGTTAGGAAAGTAAATCTGAGATCAAGATCTGAAGCACAAACTCGCCGAGTTGGAGGACCAACTCGCCGAGTTGCAGTTCAATATGTCGAGTCCGAAGAAACAACTCGACGAGTTCGAAAAACAGAATGATGATTCTGTTTTCTCCTCCTTTAAATGACTTCATAATTGCATCTATTCAACAGAAAACTAATCGTAGGATCTGATACCACTGATGGGTTTTGAGCATAACAACAATTCCTAAGTGTGCATGCAACCCAAATGCTTTGGATCTAGGTTTTCTCTAGTTGAACATGCAAACATTCAACACAAAACAAGAAACCCTAGGTTCTATGTATTATAATCGAAAATTACATAATATGGATTAAAATACATACCTTGATTGTTATGTTGTAATAACAATCTAAAAACCTTGCTTGAAAGACCTTTAGTAGCAAGCGCCACAAGTGTCGCGCGTCTAATGGCTCACAAACAAACTCAAGCAACCAAGGAATACTATTGAGAGTGAGGAGTAGATCAAAATTTCGGCCAATGCACTTGGAATGAAGGGTTAGGCCGAAATTTAACCCTAAGGAGGGTTTATATATGTGTTAGGAATGTATTGGATAAGGCAGGTGTATCCAAGATAACTCTAATCCCTTAACTTCCTCCCTAAGGCATCTAATGCACCTTAGAGCCCAAGGAAACCCGAGGAGCATCTAGAATTAGTTCCCCCCCTCTTTAGGGAGGTTCTAGAATTGCCCAATGCTCAACTATTGAACATTGTCATCTTTAGTCCCTACAGTTTTAATTAATTCCTTTGACCCCAAAATTAATTCCAAATTAATTTATGATTAAATATTAATTAAACAATATGATTTTTAATAAATCTATTATTTCCATAATACATTAATAAATCATTTATTTTGATTTCTAATTAATTTATCAACCAAATAATAAATTAATAAATCATTCTTCTCTCTCTAAAAGCTATCCTTTAATTGTCAGGTTTGAATGCAACCAAAAAAGACTTTCTTACTATCAATTCAAGTTTACACCAATTATAGTTATGGGCTTAGACACCTAATCCAACAGTCACAAGCAATTATGGTGTAATTCAAGAAGAATTAAACGAAGAAAATGGAGAAAGAAGAGATCTGGATCCAGAGTTGGCTCACCTCGTTCGAGTTTAGCAAATATGTCCAAACAATGGGTGTGACCTTGATATTACGAAGAAATCCATACCTTAATTCTTTGTATTTTAGTAAAAAGCTCAACATTAAATACCTTAAAATCTAATGATAGAAAACCTCCACCATTTTATGCTCCTCATTTTTTCTAAATAACGTAACCCGTTCATAAACCTAGTTTTTCAACATTTTGGAGAAGGTATCGACAAAAATTAAAACACATGATATTTTGTTGTAGTTTTCGGAGAAGGATGGATGCATAATCTTTGGGGTTGAGTTGGTTAAAAGAGAGAATGCATATTAAAAAGGAGATGAGAATAAGTCCTTTGTGAAAAGTACACACTGAAGATATTGGGATATCGTCTACTTTATTGTCCTATAATGAAGACTACTAAAATAATGGGAGGGAAATTGATAGTCAGTTGAAATTTAAAACTCTAAACATAATTGTCGTTAGATCGGTCAAGAATGAGTTTAATGGTATGGATCCAATGTCAAAGAGAAATATGGATCGTGATCCATGTGAACTTCCGTTCACTTTATTATCAAGTACTAGGTCTAAACCCGTGGAACTCCTCGGTTTAAAAATTGAAAAATAATTATACTTTTGATAGTGAATAAAAAAAGATATCAAATTTTAGAAATAATGAAGAATAATGATATTGTAATTAACATGAATAAATCAAATTCAATAAAGTATTATAAATTAATTAATTAATATGATGGATGAAATGTGATACACGAAAACTAAATAAAAGATGGTAGAGAAACAATATTTATAAATTCCCAAAAACTTCCTTATAAACGACATTGGAAGTTTTATTTGTGACACGACCATCCTTGTCTAGAATTAAAAATTTTAATTTGTCCCTGCTTTGAACTCTATATAAAGCTACATACAGTTGGCCATGTGAAAAGACGGAATGTTTGAGAAACAAACCAACCTTGGATTATGACTGCCCCTGACTCTTATTAATGGTCATTGCAAAACATACATCCAATGGAAACTATCTTCTTCGGAATTTGAAGGGAATTTTCTTTTCTGATGGGGTTAAAGACATTCTTGGAATAAAAGTGTGGTTTCCAATATTAGTTCTAGATATGATACGTGCCTCAATAACACGTTTGCCCAATGATATCACCTAGAGTCTTGTACCATTACACAATCCATTTTTCTGGTCAATATTTCTCAGCAACATAACGGGAACACCAATTTTTAAAACTAACTTATGGTTTGGTAAATCCGATACTTTCATACCATTTAAAACATCAGGTGAATATAAATTTGCATCAAACTCATCATGGAAAAATTCAGATTGGCATATACTATCTGAACGTAAGTATTCAACTTCATCTCCTGGAAACTTCGATAGCAAACGGTCATTTATTTCCTGAACCACTTCATTTTTCGGAGCAAGTATTACTCTTTCTTGAAAATAGCTTCTATTGTTGTACTTTTCCAAAATTGAAGGATATACGAAGTCGATTAATGAACCTATAGGATCATATGGATCATTAATGAGAATATCATCTGGAATATCAATAACCGTTTCTCCATCGTTGATACCACCAAGTTTGCCTTCTCCTATATCCAACAGACATTTTGCAAAATCTCTGATTTTTTCTATATCAGATTGATCGCTTCCAACGGTTAGTCTCCTTTTTTTTTTGTTAATTTATAGATCTTTATGTGTTGCCATAAATATGAAGAACTTAAAGAAGCATTAACAATGTTTTGTCTACTTCCACCTGGAATAATAGGTAGAATTTGTCTGAAATCTCCTCCAAAAAGAATAACTTTCCCTCCAAACGGAATATCTGAGTTGGTAAAATTTTCAGACCTGAATATATCTTTCAAACTTTGATCTAAAGCTTCAAATGGAGCTTATGGACCATATGAGCTTCATCCCAAATTATCAAGGAGGTTTTTCTCAATAAGCTAGCAAGGTCACTACTTCGACTTATTCTACAAACAGAATCCTCTGTTAGTTCAAATGAAATTATAAATCGAGAGTGTGCTGTTCTACCTTCGGGCAATAATAATGAAGCATTCCCACTTGAAGCAACATTTAAAACAATATGACCATCTTTTCTAATAGCTGCAGATATTGTCTTCCATAAAAAAGTTTTACCAGTTCCACAATATCCTTAAACAAAGAAGACACCTCCTTTATTTTGTTTAACTGCATTCATGATATCTTGGAAAATGTGACGCTGCTCATTTGTCAACGCAAGAAACATACGATCAAACTCATTCTTCATAATTGGAATGTCATAATCTAGCTCCTCTGTGATAAGTCGACTGTTTGAAGAAGAAACATAATCAACATCCGGGATAGGCATGTTTTTGAAATTTTTTTAGACTCAAGTTGTTCCGAAGTAAAACTTGTTCTATCTCGAACAAAGTTAAATTCTTAATTTGATCTTCATTGAGTGATAAGTCTGGAGGACAAAGAGCAAATTAATTTGAAATATTATTAATAATATTTTTATTAAAATTAAAATATTAATTAATGTATGTTTAAAAATAAATAATTGACTATTTAATAAATAATAATAATAATAATAAACTTGAATACCTGGAGACTTGAATCTCTGTCGTTGGTGATAAAGAATTCCATCTGCCAAATATTCCCATGTGTTTTCCCAAACAACCTCCGGTTTAGACATACTGTTACACATCAACAATGTAGCAAATAAAAATCGTAGGTAAGAACCAGATCCAGAATGACTCGCTTCTTTTATTGCATCAATGTATTCTTTTGTCATCATCCAAGAGACCAAGAGAATAACAAGCATCTCTAAAAGAAGAATATTCTTCACCATTTACTGCGCGAATTTCTTCAAATGATTTCGGACCTTCGACCTTATTTAACAAAATCCTTAAGAAATAACCTTCACCTAGCTTAGGTGAAACCGAATGAATTCTACCAATGCACTTTCCTACTTTACGTGGCTTCCAAATCCTATCACCACTTTGCCAAACAAACTTTGTAGGAAATTCAACATACATAAGTTTTCGTGCATCAACATTAACTGCATTACACTCCATCCAAGCTGTGAACATTGAAGAAGCAACATAAGGTTTGTCGAGAACATCATCAATATCATCGTCTTCACCATATATAATTTGTTATTAACCAGGAAGATGAAAAGGAAATCTAACCACATAAGGATACCTGTAATGAACATCATATTTAAAAATTCGTCATGATGCTTCACATGCAGATAAATATGTACAGTCGTAGTACTCATTTATTTCATCGACCGCATCATTAGTATCACTCTCATTGTTGCTTCATACAATGTGAACTATAGCTCTATCAGGTCCCTTCTTTATGTATTTGAATAAATACTTTATAGAAGAACCCTAATTGCACCATTCAACATTAATATGTGCTTGGTATCTTTTCAATAGATATTTGTTGTAAGGGACAACATTTATATTATCTAACTTCACACTTGATTTTTCAACAAAATGACCATCGTTTCTTCTCCTATACAATGGAAAACCATTCTGATCAACAGACGTATGATTACAAAATTTCTTTGCAAAGTTTTTCGAGCACTTTTGTCGACCAAACAAGGACATTTCATATTTTCAGCGCCACACGGACCATGAATCATGAACTCATTCACAAGAGAATACAATTCTGGATCTTCATCTATGTTTGGTATCTCAGCGGAAATTATCGGATCGATAAATTCAATAGTGGGTAGCTTGTAGTCAGAATGCATAAATAGACATATATGACTATGGGGCAAACCTCTTTTTTGAAATTCAATTGTATAAACAACTGCATAATATTTTGCACAAAACTCAAATATGATTATACCGTAATGAAAAAATATAATAAATATATAATAAATAGCATAAAATTTTATCAATTATGAAGAAACATTATTTCAAATACCTCCTTGAACTATGCCAAAAATGTGATTCTCCCTTAAGTCTTTAATAAATGCATCAAGCTTGATCTTGAACAACCTACATAGTATATCAGGTCTGTCTTCTGGTTGAAGTGAAGTATCTTTAAGAAACCTTTTAACCTCTGGCCATTTGGGATTACACGTAAACGTTATGAAGAAATCAGGATATCCAAACCATTTATATAACGACATGGCATCCAAATAGTTCTGGAGCATATAGCACGCACCACCAGTAAAAGAGGAAGGTAATATCACACGTTGGCCAACGTTGGAGATATATGTAGTTCCTTGAGCTTTTTGGTTACATAAATTATCATATGACTCGCATCTAAGAACATGTTGTTGCCTACGTATGTAATACAATCTCTCACTTCCAATCATGGTATAAGCATCTCTCAACGCTGTAACCATCATCTCCATATGGAAATAGTAGCGGATATTGGAGAGGAAGGTAAGAAGGATGCAATTCACTGATACGTTGTAGAAATCCCGACTTAGTTTCAAAAACGATATCTCTAATTTCAACTGAATCATAAATGTCACCTATAATTAAAGCAGCAACCTCAGAAGCAGTTGGTAGGTTATATGTCCTTCCATCTCGATCTCTTCTGCCGATGATTTTTAACTTCATATCAACTTGATGATATTTTTTAAAAGTATCTCTTACCATCCTATAAGAGCTAACCAATACATTATTTGAATCTAACATCAACTTCAAATCTTCAATAATATCATTATCGATTGATGTAGATTGATGTTTTTCCCCACTATAAAAATTGAAAATATACATAATATTAGTACAAAAAAAGATCGAAATTAACTATGAATAAGAAGGTTGAAAATATACCCAAAACATCTCTGTCTGTTTGAATTTTCGTTGTCCGTATCATAAATGTATAACTGCGAGAATTTTTGTTGCGATCCATCTAGTGGTAAAAGGCTTCCAATACTATGATAATTTTGACCACCAAGTATGAAAATATATGGAGCATTTCCTCTATTGATTGAAGAATCAATTTTACCACCCATTGACGTAAAAGAAAACATTGAATTGTAACATCGAATGTTTTTCATAAAGTTTTTGCTTTTAGAATCCGTTCCTCGAAACATTCTTTCATAAGTTGGTGGTGCGTTCTTTAAATATGGAAGTTGAACCTTGCCATAACCACAACATAGTGAATAATCTGTGTTTCCTCTTTCTTTTCCTATAATGGATTCATTTTTCCATAATTTTGCATGACATGTTTGACATACCACAATTTGATCACCATGATCCAAATATTCTGTAATAAAATAAAGATGTATAAGTAAAATATTGAATTTCATAAACAATTATAATACAGTATTTGAGTTGTAAAAGAAAAAGAACATGGGTATATATATGTATTACCTTTGGAAATACCAATTATTTGGTTTTCAGTAATGACTTCGTGCATATTTTCTACATCTGCTGTCAAATCAATAAATGGAATAGGAGATAAATTTTCCAACTTCCTTTTTAATTTATGACATTCTGGATTTAACTTGATTGACGATGAAGAAGTAGTTATTGTAGATGCATTTCTCGAGGTCATACCATTACAAAGTCCAGAGTAATGTCTATTATTTTGTAACGTTGAAGTTGTGTAGTTATTAAAACTACTATTGGCTGGAAAAAAATAGTAAAATTATTACCATTTGAAATGTTAGAAAGTGGTTGAAAGATAATTTTGAAAAGAAAAATTATTACCATTTGAAATCTTAGATAACAGAGTTCTAACATTTATATATGAAGAAGATGATTGTAGGGGTGTATTTTGGTTTCCACGGGATTTATAGGAACGGACATTTTCTTTTTCACGAACAACGTTTTTTGATTGATAGTAAAAAACAAAGTGTTAAAAAATTGAAGACATGTATTATAAAATTAAATTATCATGTATATTTTATATTAGTACATTGAAATAATAAAAAATGATGATAATGTATGTATATTTTTATATAGATATATGAATGGTGAAAATTAAAAAATAAAATAAAAAATTACAAATATTTGTGTGTGTTAAGACATTTGTTCCACATCGATTTTGAACACTTGATTTTGTATTCTTTTTCTTCAACCTGTTGTTATCCAAATATAATTTTCTTTGTCTTCTTTTCTCTTTTGCTTGCAAATAGTACATAAAATCATTTGTTCCTGTATAACGAATAAAAAGTATATGATATAAAATGTATATGAGTTTAAATAATTGTGTTTGATATAAAACTGAATATAATAAATGATTGAAATTTGGTTAAAATTATATTTTTCATATTAATATATAGTAAATAATAATTATAGTGAAGAAAGAAATGTACATTTGTAACCATTGTTAACAAATGTTGCAGATGATGAATCTTTCGTGGTCGATGAAGTAGGCAATTTTGTTGGTTTTTCTTATTATGTTAATAACGATTATTTGTTAGAATAATACATGTTATTGTTTGATTATGAAATTGCTTCAGGTATATAGTATATTTATTTAAATATGGATTTAACAATATCTTTTTAAAATATATAGAATTTATAAAACATTGTAATCATATAATATGAAAATAATTTATGTGATATTTTTGTGTTATTAAAAGATATATTTAGAGCTTAAAAAATGTGTAAGAAAAATATAAAAAAAATGTTAAAGAACATACATACAGTTGTAAGGTGTATCAAGTGCATTTGTAGCTGTTGAAGTTTGTCGGCTTGATGTAGTAGACAAATTAATGTTATTTCTATTATCTAAATAAAAACTATTTAAGTTTCTAGTCTTTTTAGAATTAAATGACTTCATGATATATCTGGAATCTGAAGAAATAACAATAATTAATTTATAAGATAATATGATAAACAGTAAAGAGTATGATTAAATTAAAGCAAAACAAAATATAAACTAATATTATGAAAATTTGACATATAATTGGCAATTTGTTTTATCATATTCTTTAAGTGGGTCTATTTTTGAAATATGATTGCATTTATATATTTATATTTTTTATGTACCCTAATATAAAAAGTATATTTAATGTATATTTATATAACATTTATAAATAAATGTGAACAAATACTATTTGTATTAAAAAACATATGAGTAAACAAAATGTTCATAAATTTTTGTTAATGATTCACAAGTTAATATAGAAGTTATTTGTCATTTATTATTAAACAGGGACCATTTACGCATATTTACTTAAACATGGATCATAAATTGGAATTTTCTTTACTTAAAAGATAAAATAAACGTTTAGATTAGTCTGAAACACAAAGAGGCATTACAGTCGGACTAGTATGTATAGATAGAAACGAAGAACGAAAACAAATAGTTGGGTTAAAGCTTATTCGTTTGTTGTGTCGATCTTTGAAACTTACAAGGTCAAAGATGTGTTAAGGTAACAAAAATGGGGACCGGAGGCGAAGGTGTATTACAAATCGTCTTCAATATTAACGGGAAATTTCAATTTTTCAGAAATAAAGATTTGCTTACCTGTAATCGTCAACTGGAGAGGACAAGATGAATCAAGAACGAAAAAACGCAACTACTATCGGCAAAGCAAAGACGATCCAGAGGAAATGAATTAAAATTAGGTTCGGATTTTATAATCTTTTAATCTAGGTTTGAACTTTTGATTTTTAAATTGTGTGGATGGAACGATAATTTGTTTTGAAATTTTGAAACTATTAAAACAAATTGTTGTTAATCATCCACGAATATCGGTGAAAATAATAAAACTCTTTTATTAATCTTTTGTAAAACAACATTAATTGTCCGGAATATGAAATTACAAAAATTCAAGAACAGCTTACAATGGATCCATAGTCAAATTCCACAATTAATTGATTTAAGAGTATCTTAATAGTGGGATGGGCATTTTAGGTATTTTAGACATCTTAAAAGATCGAAATATTTGGTTATTTATTTCTAGATTCTGAAAGTTATATATAATTAATATTATGTAATCCATATCATTTATATATTATGTTTAATTCCAACGGTTCATGAGATCAGTAACACAAAACAATATATGAGATCTTTATTGGTGATCTAATATCCATAGTTACGAAGATACTATGCTTCAAAAATGATAAACCTGGAAAGTTACATGAGGATTAACATAAAATATATGAACACATTATATATTTCATTAAACAAAATATAAGTTTCAAAGTGGTTACAAACTATGATGTTCTATTACACCCAATATACAAAAGATAATTACTAAATGTCTTAACTATGAAATATGTAACTTCATCAAAAAAAGAGATAACAGTTACCTACATTAAGTTTTTCCATGAAATAACATTCTCTTTAGCCATGCTTATTGCATCTTCCATCTTTCCTTTGGGAATGGTCATGTTTAGCATATGCTTGATGTATACTATTCCATCATCAACTGTTGACATTAGATGTTCTGTTACAAAGAGATGAATAAGCTTATCAACTCTTTTGGCTGGTGAGTTCATCATGAAGTGGGGAAAATTGGTTGCCACATATACCGGCTTGTGTTCCACATACAAATGTTCAATCTCACGGAATTGATGTGCCCTAACCATTGCTTTGAAATTTCCTAAAGCATCATCATCCAAAATTGGAGTCATTGACAAACCAGAACGTTGTTCAGTTGGCATATGATACCAGTATCCCATAGTTGTATAACCCAAACTTTTAGAAAAACTACCAAGCAAATCTGTGACAACCCGAAATTTCTATTCTGTACAACCATTCACTTCAATTGAAGTCAGAACTGTTTCTGCTAACTGTTAAACTTTTTGGAGTCAGTTTGAGTGTTTTAAAGCT